ACTTGAATCCGGGAGGTGGAGGTTGCAGTGAGCCAAGATCAAGCCACTGCACTCCAGCCTGGGGGACAGACTCTGTTTCCAAAAAAACCAAAAACACAAAAAAGGAATATTATTCAGCCATGAGAATAAATGAAGTACTGATACATGCTATAGCATGGATGAACCTTGGAAAATCCCAAGTGAAATAAGCTAGACACAAAAAGACAAATATTGAATGATTTAATTTATATGAAATATCCAGAATAAGCAAAGTCATAGAGACAGAAAACAGATGTGTAGAGGCTGTGAGGAGGGGATGGGGAATGACTGAAACACTTGGGGTTTCCTTCTGAGGTGATGAAAATATTTTGGAATTAGCTAGAAATAGTGTTTATACAACATTGTGAAAGTATTACATGCCACTAAATTGTTCACTTTTAAAATGGTTCATTTCATGTAACTCTCACCTTGACAAAAATGAAAAGGAAAGGAAAACCTTTTTTGTTGTTGTTTTTTGAGACAGAGTCTCGCTCTGTTGCACAGGCTGGAGTGTGGTGGAATAATCTTCGCTTACTGCATACTCCATCTTCTGGATTCAAGCAATTCTCCTGCCTCAGCCTCCCAAATAGCTGGTATTACAGGCACGTACCACCATGTACAGCTAAATTTTTTGTATTTTTTTGTAGAGACGGTTCCAACATGTTGGCCAGGCTGGTATCGAACTCCTCAAGTGACCTTAAGTGATCCAAAAGTGCTGGGATTACAGGCATGAGCCACCATGCCCAACCACAAATAGATTTTTTGTTTTTTGTTTTTTGGTTTTTTTTGGAGATGGAGTCTCCCTCTGTCACGCAGGTCGGAGTGCAGTGGCTGGGCTCACTGCAACCTCCGCCTCCTGGGTTCAAGCCATCCTCCTGCCTCAGCATCTCAGGTAGCTGGGATTACAGGCATCCGCCACAATGCTCAGCTAATTTTTTGTATTTTAATAGAGACAGGATTTTGCTGTGTTGCCCAGGTGGCTCTTTAACTCCTGACCTCATGATCTGCCCACCTCGGCCTCCCAAAGTGCTGGAATTACAGGCGTGACCCACTGCACCTGGCCACAAATAGATTTTTTAATAGTTAAAAAATAGTACTAATTGTGATAATAATTATATATAATTATATCAGTGTTCTAATAATTAGTTTACTTATTTATTTTTAATTTTGAAATAACATTTCAACTTATGTGAAGGTTGCAAGAATGGTCTCAAAAACTTCCATATGCCCTTCATCCAATGTTAACATTTCACCACATACCTTGATTGTTTCCTTCCTTCCTCCTTCCCTCCCTCCCTCCCTCCCTTCCATTTTTATCTCTCCCTTTTCCTCTCCCTTTCTCTTCCTTTCTTCCTTCCTTTCTTTTTCTCTCTTTTTCATTTCTTCTCTCTTTTCTCACTCTGTCTCTGTCCCTCTCTGTCTCTCTCTCTCTTTTCTTTATCTTCTTCTCTTTCTTTATCTCTTTCCTTCTTTCTCTCTCTCTCTCTCTATACCTATATATGGAGATACCTGTCTAGTATGCATGTATGTTTATATGCATATTTATATTATAATTTTTTTGAGGAGGCTGCACCTCTGGTATTCTTTGATTCTTTGAACAATGGTGGAAATTGAGAAGGAGGGGTAAGCAAAATATAAATCATGCTATGGTCTTAATGTGTCACCTCCAAAATTCAGATGTTACTAAGGTGATGGTTTGAAAGGTGGGGCTTTCAGAGGCAATTCGCCAGTGGAAGCTCCTTCCTGATGAATAATATTAAAGCTCTTACAAAAGGGGCTTCCCGCAGTGCTCGGACAGCTTGCCCTTCCACCTTCTGCCATGTGAGGACGCACTAGGAAGCACCTCAGCAGACCAAATGCCAAGCCTTGACCTTGGACTTCCCAGCTTCCAGGATTGTGAGAAATAAATTTCTGTTCTTTATAAATTATCCAGTCTCGGGTATTTTGTTATAGCAGCATGAATGGAGTAAGAAATTATAACAAGCCACTGCCTTGTCAAGTGAGCCCTAAATGTGTGGTTTGGGGGAAGGGTGAGAAGGTGTGATGAGAGGAAGTTCTCAAACCCGTAACGATCCCCCGCTGACAGTGCAGGTGTCACTGGAAGGACCAGTGGGGCCCAGCGATCTTCCCACACTGGGAACATATGGTGTTTCCTCTTCGTTTTGGGGCTGTAGTTGCCACTCAAAGATTGGTGTTGGATGAAGCTGGTTTTAAGACTTGTGACTTGGCTCCTTATGCGTCATCTCATTTCTCATCCTTCCATGTGCAAGAGCCTCTCTAAACCGCAGAAAATCCTTTTCCACCATCAGAACGTGTTCTGTGGAGCTCTCGATCATTGTGTGGAAATACATTCCAGCTTCATTCATACCAATACTGTGTATGGAATTGATTCTATAAAGGTGCACATACTTTCAGCTGTTTTAAGGCAAGATTGTGTGTACAGGTGCTTTATTCTTTCATCTACAGAATCCATTGAATAGTTACTTTAAAATAGAAACAAGAACATCCCAGTGGGATGAAGCTCCAGTTGCCCACAGTGGTAATCTGCCCATCAACAAACACATCTTTTGTTGGCTTTCTTTATATACACATATATATATACATTGAATTGCACTTTAGATTCTGGGGTACACATGCAGATCAGGCAGAATTGTTGCATAGGTACATACATGGCAATGTGGTTTGCTGCCTCCATCCCCGTCACCTATATCTGGCATTTCTTCCCATGTTATCCCTCCCCAACCTCCCTATCCCCCCACTATCCCCCCCAGTCTCCCACAACAGACCTCATCTTTTGTTGGCTTTCTTCTCTTCCCTAACACACTCCCCTGCTCCTCTATTGGTGCTTCCTGGAATCTCATTGCAAACAGACTACTGTCACTCAGATTTCTATCTCAGGGTCTGCTTCTAAGGGAGCAAAACCAAAGAAAGTTACACCTTTTCAATGCCTGCTAAACACAAATCTCTCTGTGTGATTTGCCTGTGATCAGGACATGGCTGAATTATCACTGGTAGAAGAGGTTTATACCCAAGTCAATCAATGCACAGTGACAGGCATGAAATCTGTGACGGCTAATCTCCATCTCAGTTTCATCCACGGACCTCACTAACTGTACAGTGCTGTGTCTGGTATTTCAGCAATGACTCAGCAGTTCAAAGGCTCAGTCACAGAATTTCAGTATGCTACCAACCTACATTCTTTCTGTTCATCCAGCTCAGACAGGGGATATGATTCTTGCTCCATCCCAAAGTTCACCATTGGGTAGATGTTTTTTCATTTTGCCTTAAAAGTTGATTTTCCTCCTCTTATTTATTGCTTAGTGTTTATAAAAAGGCCTTTAGGAATTAATAAAAGACCAATGCAATTTAAAGACCTCAAAGCCAAAATACTTTGGAAGAAAGAATTTAAGGTCTTTGTTTGTTTGTTTTTTTAAGACGAGGTTTCACCATATCGTCAGGCTGGTCTTGGACTCCTGACCTCAGGTGATCCGCCCGCCTCGGCCTCCCAAAGAGCTAGGATTACAGGTGTGAGCCACCGCTCCCAGCTATGGTCTTTGAAGCATAGATGGCAGCCAACAGCTTGAACTACTGAGTTTTTCTTGGCCAAGAAAACTTTGGAATACTGGAATAAGATTTTTCCTCTCTCTCTCTCTCCATCCTCTGTCTACAAATTGTTCCATAGGTCAAATATTTAAATGAAGGAGACTTCAAACGTGGTCTTCAAACCTATAATTTATCTCCAAAAATTTAGAGGAAGGAAAAACAATGAAAAAATCAAAACAGTGAAACTGTGCATTTGTGGTATTGGAAAGACATGGGTTTGGAAGCCAGGAGATTCGGATTTCTGGTCTCAAATCTGCCACTGGCTGTGTGATCTTGAACAAAGAACTGACAATTTCTTGGCCTCTTCTGTAAAAGGAAGAGGTCTGAGCATGGCTGTCTTTAAGTCTCCCCCCTGCCTCCACCCCTGCCACCTACCACCAGCCCTTTTCGAAACACACACTACCAAGATTATCTTCTTCTTCCTTAAAACTTGTAGGCTGGGCGCAGTGGCTCACGCCTATAATCCCAGCACTTTGGGAGGCCGAGGCGGGTGGATCACGAGGTCAAGAGATCAAGACCATCCTGGTCAACAAGGTGAAACCCCGTCTCTACTAAAAATACAAAAATTAGCTGGGCATGGTGGCGCGTGCCTGTAGTCCCAGCTACTCGGGAGGCTGTGGCAGGAGAATTGCTTGAGCCCAGAAGGCGGAGGTTGCGGTGAGCCGAGATCACGCATTGCACTCCAGCCTGGGTAACAAGAGCGAAACTCCGGCTCAAAAAAAAAAAAGAAAAATTAAAAAACTCGTAAAGCAGATGTATTCCCGGTTCCCTGTCATCCCTTTAAGTCGACTCAGTGGAGCTGAGCTGTTTTCTATCCCTGGAAAACCTGAAGGGGCTTTCATGGTTGTTTAGAGTCCCACTTTGGCAGCCAAAGTAATTTCTGATAACTTTGTAAGATTTTAGTTTCCTAATCTAATTTTCCTTTCAATGATAAGGTCCCATTATTTACATTGTTGTGAGTAACAAGAGCTCACACATTTGCAGAATTATCTTGAAGTCAGCAATGTACTTCCATAAATAATAACTCATTTGAGTCTCACAAATGTTAACAGAACGATTGAAGTAGGCTGGGAAGACAGTAAAAGTTTTTACCATTTTGTTGCTTGAGAAAGAAGTTTAAAGACATTTAGCGTATCAGGTTTCTTCCAGTTGCAAGTTTTTCCTAGAAATCCAGCTCAAAACTGACCCAATAAAAAAACGAGAGCTTATTGACTCATGCAATCAAAAAGCCCAGGGTAGGTCTTCAGGTTCAGTTGGATCAAGGAGCTTAAACTATGACATTAGTATCTTGTCTCTCTATATTATATAACTGTCCGACCTACCCTCTGCGGGAAGACTGGGCTCATTGGGAAAGAAACCGGACCGCAGGCTAGAGGAAATTCCTTAAGTTCAGGCTTTATTGAGAGGAAAGAGCCTCCGGGCAGGCCAGCCGGGACGAAAAGGAAAAATGGCCGCGCTGCTCAGAGGGGCAGGGTTGTTTTATAGGGGGCTGAAGGGCTGGGGGGTGGGGAAGCCAAAAGCCGAGGTGGTGGGCAACTGTTGGTCAGTTTGAACTGCTGGGCGGGAAGCTGGGCGGCGGGAGGGCTAGGGCCGGTATGTAAAGTGAGAGATAAGGGAGCCTCTTTGTGGGGGAGGGAAAGAGAGAGAGATTTTGCGGTAGGGGCAGAGTTTTCCAAACATTCCCGACTCCTTAAAGAAAAGAAAAAGAGGGGGTCAGGGGTGTCGGTTGTCTCTCTGGCTACTTCCTGCTGACAAGGGTCGACGGGGGGTTCTGAAGAGGTTTCTTTTCCTAAGGAGCCTGGAGGTTTGGGGAGAGGTCTGTTTCTTGCACTCGTTCAGGGTGGGGTTGGAGCAGCATCTGGTGGATGGTGACTCCAGTCAGTTCTTGAAAGAGCCGCTGTAGGAACTGGAGAAAGCAAGGAGCAATAAGTAAGATTAGGCAAACGGCTATTAGGGGCCCAAGCAATGGTGACAAGAGGGTATACATAGAGGAAGACCACCACGCTGTGGCTTCAGCCGAGAACTTCTGACTCTACAGGTTAGTTTTGAGTTTCTGGAGGCTCTCGATTCGGGTTTCTACTAGGCCGGATTCATTGATGTAGTAACAGCACTCTTCTTGTAGGAAGATACAGGTCCCTCCTCGTTCAGCAGTGAGCAGGTCCAGGGCTCTTCGGTTCTGCAAGGCAACTTGGGCAACTGAGGTGATCTGTCATTGGAGTGATGCTAAAGACTCAGTAGAGTCATTAATAGCCGCTTGGAGTTGTGAGGTCAGTCGGGCTATGGCCAGGTGAGAGTGGACTAGTGCCCCTCCTCCTAATCCTGCTGCAAGTGCTGAACCAGCAAGGGAGACTCCAACGGCAATGGGTAGGAAGGCAGCTCATCGGGTGCAGCGATGGGGAGTTTGCAGCATCTGGAATTCGGCTGGGGAATATATAGTGAGTCGAGGGACTAGGGTTACTGGGAGGCATAAAAGAGATGAGGAAAGGCCAATGTAGAGAGTTTTTGTTAAGGTCTTGTTACACCCGAAAAACGTTCCTCGTGGGGCTGTTATATTAGTGGTTACCCGTATAGTTCTGTTACAGCTAGGGACGTTTCGGCCTAGGGAATGTGGGGTTTGGTAGGGGATACTTGGGGTCCCATCGCTAGGGACGTTTCGGCCTAGGGAATGTGGGGTTTGGTAGGGGATACTTGGGGTCCCATCGATTCCCATGACTAAGACCTGGGAAGGGGTGAGATGGCCAGAATAAGAAGGAAGAGCGGAGTAGGTAGCCCCCATGTCTTGTGACCCTAGGCTCGGCGAGGGTAACCGGAGTCGGAAAGCCAGGGCCCCGCTAGTCATCTAGCAGCCCTAGTAGACTGGGGAACGGAGCTCCCTCGGAGGTCGGTTCCTGGCAAGCAGGCTCCTCCATACTGAGGGTGACTGCCGGCTGTGTAACACCAGTGTGTCTGTTTTGAGGAACCGGCACCCTGGGGAAGCTGGGGCAGTCTGACTTCCAGTGTCCCGGGAGCCGACAGATAGGGCAAGGCTTAGTTGGTGGCCATGGTTGTGGACAGGCTCGGGACCAGTATCCTTCCTTTCCACATTTGAAACATGCCCCTGGAGGGGCATGGGTTTCGGCCTTGGGCTTCTGGTTCCCTGCCGGCCTTAGAGCCGCCACTAGGGCTTGGGTCTGGAGGGCAGCCTTCTGCTTCATGCGAGTTTGGCGGGCAGCCTCAGCCGCATCTTCCCTGGCATTGAATACTTTAAAGGCCATTTTTACCAGGTCTTGGATGGGAGTCTCTGGCCCCTCTTCTGCTTTCTTTAGTTTCTTTCTTATGTCGGGTGCTGATTGGGAGATAAAATGGGAGGCTAATACAGTGGCCCCATTTTGGGAGGCTGGATCTAGTCGAGTGTACCGGACTAGGGCTTCTTATGTTTGAGTGAGGTATTGGAATTCTTTAATATAGGTGGACGGGTTGGCTGAGAAGGATCCTAAACGTTTCTCAATTTGGGACAGGTCTTGGAGTGAGAAAGGAACATGGACCCTGACTAAACCTTCAGCGCCTGCTACTTCTCGGAGTGGGGCCAGGATAGCTGGCTGGTGGGAGCGGGTGTGGGCCGCCACCGGAGAGGCAAGAGGAAGTGCAGCCTCTGAGGGAGGGGGCTCGGAGGGAGTAGAGGGAGAGCAAGGCATGGCCTCTGAGGTAGGAGGTGCAGAGGGAGTGGGGGAAGGGCGTGCCGTTGATGGCGAGTGGTTGCTGAGATTGGCAGGAGAGGACAGATGTTCAGGCAGATCCTCCGGTGAGGAGTAGGGAGGGGGAGAGGTAGTGGAGGAAGATTTACGGGGGGTTCGAGATAAGAGGATTTGGTAGGTGGAGCAGGAAGAACATAGGTCGGGGTGGGTACGGAGGTCCCAAAAAGCCTGGACGTAAGGAATTTCATTGTCCTTGCCCGTGCGGCGACAAAAATTGTCGAGATCTCGGAGGGTGTTGAAATCAAAAGTGCCAGTCGGGGGCCAATGTGACTGGTTACTGAGTTTGTATTGGGGCCAAGCCACCTGGGACAGGAAAATAAGCTTTTTCTTTCTGACGGTTTGGGAATATCCCAATTTGGTAAAATTTCGCAGCAAGCACCCGAGGGGGGTGCTCAGAGGTATTTTGGACTCCGAATTTCCCATGGCAGGCGCAGCTACAGACTCTCCGGCGCGGATGGGCAGATGCAACGAAAAGGCGTCCCCGTTCGTTGCAAATTCCCCGGAGTACAATTAAGTACGGAAAGGGAAGCGGTCAGAGGGGCGTCCCCCGTCTGGCGGCTGTCCCTCGGAAGGCTCCTGGAGCCGGAATGGAAGACTACCTTGGCTCGGCCGAGACTAGGCAAGGAGTCCGTGCGGAACGCCGGAGAGGGAGCAACTGCACCGTGCCATAGGAAGAGGAGACGGGAAGCGGGGGAAGGCAAAGCAAGAAAAACTTGGCTTACCTTAATCGGAATGTGGAGGTGGCAGGGCCAGTGTTGGGTAGGTCGGGGAGGGGGGCCGTGGCCGGGCCAATGGCCTCAGCTCCCGTCCCGGGTTTCCGGCACCATTTGTCCGACCTACCCTCTGCGGGAAGACTGGGCTCATTGGGAAAGAAACCGGACCGCAGGCTAGAGGAAATTCCTTAAGTTCAGGCTTTATTGAGAGGAAAGAGCCTCCGGGCAGGCCAGCCGGGACGAAAAGGAAAAATGGCCGCGCTGCTCAGAGGGGCAGGGTTGTTTTATAGGGGGCTGAAGGGCTGGGGGGTGGGGAAGCCAAAAGCCGAGGTGGTGGGCAACTGTTGGTCAGTTTGAACTGCTGGGCGGGAAGCTGGGCGGCGGGAGGGCTAGGGCCGGTATGTAAAGTGAGAGATAAGGGAGCCTCTTTGTGGGGGAGGGAAAGAGAGAGAGATTTTGCGGTAGGGGCAGAGTTTTCCAAACAATAACCACTCTCTTTTGTGTATTTTTATTAATTGAATTAACAAGTCGTTATTGAACATCTTATGTTAATTATTGTTATAGGCATAAGAGGTACAGTGAACAAAGCATTGTGTTTAAAACAGTGACTAAATATACATAGCTGCATTAACAAAATCCATGGAATTTACATTCTTACATTCACGGGAATAGTCATAAAACTTACATACTAGTGATAGGAGGGCATAAACAAACAGATAAAGAATATGTACTAATGGAATAGTCTATGCAAGAAAAAAATGAAGGATTGTAACAGGATAGTGGAGGCAATGAAAAATAATTTTTTTTTGAGACGTAGTCTCACTCTGTCACCCAGGCTGGAGTGCAGTGGCACGATCTAGCTCACTGCAACCTCCGCCACCCAGGTTCAAGTGATTTTCCTACCTCATCCTCCTGAGTAGCTGGAATTACAGGCTCATGCCACCAGGCCCAGCTAGCTTTTGTATTTTTAGTAAAGATAGGGTTTCGTTATGTTGACCAGGCTGGTCTCGAACTCCTGACCTCAGGTGATGCACCCGCCTCAGCCTCCCAAAGTGCTGGGACTACAGGCGTGAGACACTGTGCCAGGCCTATACTTATGTTTCTTATGTTGGGTAGCCTTAGCTGGGCAGTTCCTTTGGTCTGGCTTGGTTCACAGTTAGATGTGGCTAAGACTGGAGCCATCTGGAAATTCAGCCTGGGATGCTGAGCAGCTGCATCTCGTTCCTTCTCTGTTGTCTCAGGGCCTCTTCTCCTTACGTGGCCTCTCCATATGTTCTCTCCAACAGAGTAGCCAGATTTCTTAAGTGGTAACCCAAGGCTCCCAAAGGTTAAGTATTCCCAGAAGGAGAAAGTGGGAATTGCCAGTTGTCTTAAAGGCCAGGCCTGCAGTGTTATTGATGTTCATTTTATTGGCTGACACAAGTCTCAGGCCAGCCTAGATTTAATGTGAGAATGGGGAATGAGCCAAAGTGAGGGAATCTGTGGAGATCGCTCCCGTGTGAGGCCCCTGGGAAATGGGCCTCGCCATAGGTGAGCTTGAGCCTGGACACAGATCCCCGGTTGGGGCAGTTGAGCTGAGGGAAAGCAGGAACTGAGAGAGGGACTATGTTATTCTAAATAGTTAACAGACATTACTTTATGAATATGAGGACTTGGGAGTCAATGTGTCCACTTTCAGCTTCTTATGGTTTATTGCTTGATTGTGTTCATTTTGGACCCTTGTTACCTTCATTGTAAAATATTAACATAAGTATTTACACTTGGTAACTTACTTACCGTAACTTACTGGGTGTAACTATAACTTCTCATAGCTTACTGGGCGTGACTGTAACTTACTTACATTGATCTATTGGGCGTAACCTAATTACTGAAAGTAACCTACTTACTAAAAGTAACCTACTTACTGGGCGTAACCTACTTAATGGGATTAACTTACTTACTGGGCGTAACTTAGTGGGCGTAACTTGCTAACTGTAACTTAAGTACGTTGATCTAGTGTAAACAACTTTGACTTCAGAAAAGTATATAAGGAAACATATTGCAAAAACAAAATGGCTGCTTGGACATAGCCTAAGCCAGTCCTCCAGACTCTGCTTTTCTATTTTCTTTCACTTCCGCGCACTCTCTCCCTCAGGTTGAACGAGACATCTACGTTGGCAGTCTTGGGGACTCCTGCAGGTCGGTAGTCCCCTGGCAGACGTGCCGGACCCTGACACCAAAGCAATGCTGTGGCTACCAGGAATGGCTCATGAGGAGTCACTCCTGAAGACAGCTGTTCCAGTCACATCATGTGAGACCCAGGGTGTTCAGTCTAGGCCAGTCTCACCCAAAATGTGTTTACAGAACATTAGCCTTACGAAATGTTCATGAAAGAAAAAGTATTGCAATGTCAATAAATTTAGAGAATACTACATACTATACACAATTTTAGTGTACCATTGCTGCCCATTAAACAATAGGGATTTAGGGAACTCTGCACTAGAATAACTGTTTCATCTGGTTCTTAACCTAGGTTACTCTAGAAAGCAGAGCCTGAGACAAGGGTTTGCGTGTAAGTAGTTTTGTTTGGAGACAGGGTCTCATTCTGCCACCCACGCTGGAGTGCAGTGGCACAATCACAGCTCACTGCAGCCTGAACATCCCTGGTTCAAGAGATGCTCCCACCTCAGCCCACCCCTCAAGTAACTGGGACTGCAGGAACCTGCCACCACACCCAGCTAATTCTTTAGTTCTTTAGACAGTGTCTTGCTGTGTTGCCCAGGATGGTCTCAAACTCCTGTGTTCAATTTCTCCTCCCACTTTTGCCTCCCAAAGTGCTGGGATCACAGGTATGACCTGGCCTCATTTTTGTTTTTGTTTTTTGAGATCATGTCTCACTGCTACCCAGGCTGGAGTGCAGTCGCACAATCTCGTCTTGTTGCAATCTCTGCCTCCTGGGCTCAAGTGATCCTCCCACTTCAACCTCCCAAGTAGCTAGGACTATAGGCATGCATCACCACACCAGGCTAATTTTTATCTTTTGGTAGAGACAGGGTCTCACCATGTTGCCCAGGCTGGTCTTAAATTCCTGGACTCAAATGACCCATATGCCTTGGCCTCTCAAAGTGCTGGCCCTATATGTTTGTACTTATTTATTTATTTATTTAAGATGGAGTCTTGCTCTGTCGCCCAGGCTAGAGTGCAGTGGTGTGATCTTGGCTCACTGCATTCTCCACCTCCCAGGTTCAAGCAATTATCCTGCCTCAGACTCCTGGATAGCTGGGAATTATAGGCACACACCACCATGCCCAGCTATTTTTTGTATTTTTAGTAGACACAGGGTTTCACCAAGTTGGACAAGGCTGGTCTCAAACTCCTGACCTCAGGTTATCTTCCCACCTCGGCTTCCCTAAGTGTTGGGATTACAGGCATGAGCCACTATGCCTGGCTGTTTTGTTTTTGAAGTGATCCTGAGGAGCAGAAAAGAGAAAGAAAAAAAAAAGGCCAATCCAAGGATGTGCTATTGAGTAGATAACCACTGTGGGGCTCTACATGGATAGGGCTCTATGGAGGAGCTGTGTAGAATGCACCTCAGAATTTCTACTAGAGAGAAACTGTTTTCTTTTTTTTGAGACAGAGTTTTGCTCTTGTCACCCAGACTGGAGTACAATGATGCAATCTCAGCTCACTACAACGTCCGCCTCCTGGGTTCAAGCGATTCTCCTGCTTCAGCCTCCTGAGCAGTTGGGATTACAGGCACCGCCACTACGCCCGGCTAATTTTTGTATTTTTGGTAGAGATGGGGTTTCACCCTGTTGGTCAGGCTGGTCTAGAACTCCTGATCTCAGGAGATCTGTCCACCTCGGCCTCCCAAAATGTTGGTGTTACAGGCATGAGCCACTGTGCCTGGCCAAGAAATTGTTTTCATTGGCTTCATCCCACATTTATCAAAGCTTTCCCCTTAGATGTTACCTCTTTCACATGTCCAGGATTGTACATGCATTAGAAGCACTCAACAGATTCCTGCAGGCATCCCAGCCTGTAGTGACAAAGAAACCCTGGGGCAGAAAACAAGAGGAGCATGGTGTGGCTGAGATGATGTACCTGCCCACGGCTGGTTGCCACAGCAGTGGCTGGAGTAAAACTGTGGGCTGAGAAACATCCATAGTTTAATGGAGGTAACATTTCTCAAACTTGCCTGCTTGAGGACCCATATTTCAAATGGCACCTATCGTTATTCCAAGTTGCACAGAACACTTTTGGGTGCATAGGTCTAAATGCCCACCAAAAACAGTGTTATACAAAAGCAATACAGACCACCTTCTCCAAGGTTTCATGCTTAATTTCTCTCAGATTGTGTTCTTTCTGTCCTTCTTGCTGAGTACATCTTAGCACTGAGCATCTGCATTGGAACACATGGGCACAGAATCTCCTGCCCCATATGTGTACTTGTCTGCAATTCTACCACTGAGGATTTCAGCTTGTGGGGGACATAAGTTAATTGTCTACATATGTATTAGTCTGTTTTCATGCTGCTCAGGACATACCTGAGACTGGGCAATTTACAAAAGAAAAAGGTTTAATGGGTTTACAGTTACATGAGACTGGGGAGGCCTCACAATCATGGAAGAAGGTGAAAGGCACCTCTTACATGGCAGCAGACAAGAGGAGAGAGTTGTGCAGGGAAACTCCCCTTTTTAAAACTGTTAGATGTCATGAGACTTATTCACTATCACTACATCAACATGGGAAAGATCCACCCGCATGATTCGATTACCTCTCACCGGGTCCCTCCCACAACACGTGGGAAATCAAGATGAGATTTGGGTGGGGACACAGCATCCATTTCTCCTTTTCCCTTCCTAACAGCACCCAATATGTGATTTGGGTGATGGTGGTCCTATTCTTGGCTCAGGGGAACAGGTGGTTTAAGGCAATTAAATATTTCATCTGCTGGCCCTAGAGACTGGGTTATGATGTTCTGGATGTGGATGAGAAGGCATGTTGCCCTAGTTTTTATTGATAGCCACCTTGTGACCATATGGACAACCGGCACTGGGGTGAAGCCAACACTGTGGCAGGTAAAGTTAAGGCTGAAAGACTCAGGAGGACCTGGGTAAGCATTTGCCTGAAGTTCAACTTACCACCAGATTTCTCAGTTAAGTATGTCAATAAGCCAGCTGTGGTAGTCCCAGCTACTTGGGAGGCTGAGGTGGGAGGGTCGCTTTAGCCCAGGAGTTCTGAGCTGTAGTGAGCTATGCCAATTGGTTGGCACTAAGTTCAGCATCAATATGGTGACTTCCCAGGGGCAGGGGACCACCAGGTTGCTTAAGGAGGGGTGAACCAGCCCAGGCTGGAAACGGTGAATAGCCACTGCAGTCCAGCCTGGGCAACATAACAAGATCCTGTCTCTTAAAGAAAAAAGAAAGGATGTCAATAAATCTTTGTGGCTTAAGCCATTTGAGTTTGGTTTTTTTTTTTTTTTTTTTTTTTTTTTTAAC